TGCCCCCTCCTCCCCCCAAGCCTGGCTGGCTGTCCTTCGGGGGGGGCAGGGGGGGGATAAGTAACGCCCCAAGGGCAACGACTACTGCTCTCCCTGTCGCCCCTCACATCACCCCCAGTGCCACCACCAGCCCCATCCTGGCCCTAGCAGCTGCCTGGGCACCCCCAAAACCTGCCCTTCCCCTCTTCTGTGCCCAACTGCCCCATGCCTTGCAGCATCCCCCTCCTGCCCCGCCCCCACAGTTGCCCCTCGTCTCAGCCCCCAAACCACTCCCCTGCCTCAGGCCCCCCTTTTCTCAGCCCCCCCCACTGCCCCTTCTGCTCCTTAGGGACCCCATCCCTCCAGCCCCCGCAAATCTGCCTCAGGGTCCCCCACTCCCCTCACAGCTCCCACAGCTACCCCTAGAGCCTGCCTTCCCCCACAGCCCCCCCCAAATTGTCCCTCTCTGACCCTCCTCCCATCACAGGCCCCCCAAACTGCCTTCTGCCCCTCAGGGTTGCCTCCCAACTGCCCCCTCCTCTCATGGCCCCCCAAATGCCCCCCACTCCTCAGAGCCCCCTCCCCTCACAGCCCCACAGGACCCATCCAAATTGCCCTTCCCCGGGGTCAGAGCGCAGGGCGGGCATTACAGCTGTTACCGTGCACCCCCTGGAAATGGCAAGTAACACCCTGAGGAAGGTGGTGGGTTTGGGGTATGGGGGCTGAAGGGGATTGTGAGGCTTGGCATACAGGGGCTGAAGGGCAGCAGGTTTAGGGTGCGGGGGTCTGAGAGGACAAATAGGCTTGGGGTGAGGGGTGTGGGGTTTGGGCTGCAGGGGTCTGAGGGGAATATGCGGGCTGTGAAGGCACAGGGGTGAGGGCAGGGTGGGGGGTCAAGGGTCAGAGAGGGATGGGGGTACAGGGCAGTCCAGGCCGTGCTGGGCTTGGGGGTGAGAGCAGCCCCCCCCGCCCCGGAGCCACCGGCCAGGCTGCGTTGAGCCCGGGAGGGACCCGGGCCGATCCTGGTTGGTCCTCCTGCTCCGCGGGACCCCGGTCCTCCAGCGGGCAGGAGACCCCGTCTGCAGCCGTGGGGCTGGGGGCCAGGCCTGCGCATCGCCCGTGTGGCGAGCGTGACCACGACGGGGAAGGTAGGAGGGTGCAGAGGCGATGCTCTGCCGGGGGCGGGTGAGGGCTGTCGCGCCTATTGCTGCGTCTTGGGGCTGGGACCACTGATGGCTCTGGGGGGGGGCGGCTGTTGGGGGCACAGGAGGGGTCTTTGGGGGATGGCAGTGCCCCTGGGGGGTTGGTGGCTCCGGCGTCCGGTTTGCAGCTCGGTGGTGTCGGTGCTGTGTACGTGTGGGGTAGTCCAGTCCAGCCCCTGCTCTGTGGGAGCAGCTGGGTGATGTAAGGGGCTGAGCGTGGCTGTGTCTGCTGAAACCTGGTGCCTTCAGGCCATGCCGTCCAAGGGCCTGGGGCTCAGGGCTAGGGCTCCTGCATGCTGGGTACGGGCTGGTGACAAAAGTACTGTGGAGCGAGCACTGATCCTGGCAAGGTTTTTATTCACGCAGCCTGCAGTGAGCTGCGCAGGGCTGGATGGGTTCCCAGCATTGCTGGCCTTTTGGACCCCGCTCTGGGGGCTGCAGCCCTCGCCGCACGGTACTATTGATGGCCGAAGTGAGTCCAAATGGATCTTTGGGCCACCCCGGTCGGGTGGCCAATGGTGGTACCGGCGTCCGGCTCGTGCCCGGACAGGTGACTTGCTGGAACTTTAAAAAAATTCATCAGAGGGCCACCACTCAATCAAAAATTGGGCGGCTGGGCTCCCGAAAGTTACAGAGCCTCCTTCCTGGATAGCCAGATGACCAGCTTGGCCAGAGCCAGGAGGAGGTTGACCAGTTGGTCCCGGGCCTTGGTGGGGCGACGGACGGGGAGTGCATAAACAAAAAGGTGCGGGGAGAAGTGCAGCCAGAACTTCAGGAGGAGGTGCAGGGGCTGCAGCCTGACGCACTCGAGGACCAGGTGCGCCAGGGTTTCCCTTTGGTGGCAGAAGGAGCACTCGTCGGAGAGCCCGGCGGCCCGCGCCAGGTACACTCGCGTCGCGATGGCCCCATGAAGGAGCCGCCAGCCTAGGTCCCCGGCGGCTCTCGGGACGAGCTCCGAGTAGACGCCGAGCCACCGGGGACCGTCAGCCACGCCCTTGCCAAAGTAGTCCCGCCATTTAAAGAACCGGCCCCAGAGACCAGCTTATCCACAACAGGGTGAGATTTGAACCCATGACACCAACTCTCCAGACAAGCACTCTGCCCACCAGGCCAGCAAGCTCTGCTCCCCCTCGCCGCATGGTGACCACCAGTGTTGGGCACTCAGCTGGACGGACGGGGTGACCCAGTCAGGCAGCTCTTTCCTTCGGGGCCACAGGGTCTGCCCCGTTCCTCCTCCTGCTGGGTCTCGCACTACGGGTACCTGCCCCAGGTTTCTGCCCCATTTGGAGGGGAGTGTTCTTGGGGTGACCTGCCTGGGACTCGCAGGCTGTGGTGGGGCCAGCTGCAAGCAGGGCATGGCAGTACCCCGGCCTGGTGAGGGCGAGCTAGTTACCAGCTGTCCCGAGCAAGGGGCCAGGCAGTGACGGTGTCTAAACCCGGGGCGGAAGGTGTTACCCAGATCTCGGCTCACCTTGTGGGCAGGTACTGATCAAAGAGGCAGAAACGGGTCTGCAGCCCAACCTTTCATTTGCTTGCCGCTGAAAACATAAGAACAAATATTTATCCCAAAATCAGCCCGCCTGCCCGACAGCACACGCGGGTTCTCACCTGTCCTGGCTGCGGGGGCTTGAGAGCGGGCAGGAGATGCCCACAGACTGGCACCAGGTCTTCTTCAAGTTGCTGAGTCCTCCGAATTTCCCTCCCCCCATGACCCGCATGTTCCAGTAACTGATCCCTGGTTGCATTTATCTCCATTTCTTTGTTTCACTGAAACTTTTGGCACCGGACTGACCCAGATCTGCGGTGGACTGGGAAAGTGTCACTTAGGTGGGATTTCTATCCCAGGGAACGAGGGAGGGTTTCTTGTCTCCTTTCCTCTCCATTGGGGATCGCTGGTCCTGTTTCCTCTACCTGACTTCCTGTTCCTCTCTGATAGACTGAGCTTTTTTTAGAAATCAGCTAAGCATTTTCACAAAAATGTATCTATGCTAGTGAAGTAACATCTAATACAGGTGGTTACATAAATCACGACTGCTACCACTGCTTGAAGATAAAGCTACGATACAGCGTATATGGATGTTTTATTGTATGGTCTTCCCTCATCTCTGTTCAGGCCTCGTGCTTGTTTCCTTGTGTGTGATGGCTTCCTTCACTTGCTGACAAGATCGCTGTCACATCTGCAAAGGTTCACACCGCGGTTCCCCAGAAACAGGCTCGGGGCCTCCTGCTTACAGCACTTCTGCACCTCAGCCCAGGCCCCTTGCCAATGGCCAAAGCTGGTAACAAAGGCGCTCACGGTGCTAGGCACTGGGCTTCGCCTGCACCCAGATGGGCTCAGGCTCGTGCTCCTCTTGGATCCCCTTGGCCTTGTGACAGAAGCAGCACCGGACCCGCGCGCCGTTGTCCTGCGCCGTGGGGTTGAAGGTCAGAAGCGACATCAGGACCCCCTGGGACTGGAGCCGTGCTGTTCTCTAGCGCTGGGGTCCCTCCCCAGCCCTGCTGTTCTTGATCGCTGTTGTGTCCTTGCCCTGTATCCACTCCCGCATCACAGCCGTGTCCTCGGGGAAGGTCCCCTCCATGGAGCAGCTTAGGATCACCTCCTGCCCTGACACACCTCCGCCAGCCCTTGCACATCTGAGACTCAGTAGTGCAGTTCCCTGGCTGGGGGCAGGGTGAGGCGTGCGGTTAGTGTGGGATTATGCAGGAGACACGTCTGGCCTGGGTGCTGTGCCCCCCCACCCCCAGCAGGTTGTAGCTGCCCTTGCTCTCTGCTGGCTTGTCTCTTCCAGCCCCTGCCCCGTTTCCCCTTCATCTTTCCCTGCTGTGTCACCTCTTCCCCTCGCTATCCTGTCGAGTCACCGTTGGCCAGGGCCCCTGGCTCTCCCAGCCCCTCGGTGGGGGTGCTCTGTTCATGGGGGTGCAAGGATCATTTTCGTGGATGGTGGTGGATGGGTCATTTTCGACCTGGAGGGATGTGAGCAGTGGGTCCCCCAGGGTTCGGTCCTCGGGCCCACGCTGTACAACATCTTCATCAGCGACTTGGACGAGGGGGTAAAAAGCACCTTGTTCAAATCTGCAGATGACACTGAGATGTGGGGGGATGTGGGCACGCTAGAAGGGGGGAATAGGCTCCAATCAGACCTAGACAGGTTCCAGGGGTGGGCGGATGAGAACAGGATGGGTTTCAACACTGACAAGTGCAAGGTGCTGCACCTGGGGGGGAAGAGCCAGCAGCAGACCTACAGGCTGGGGAACTCCCTTCTAGCCAGTGCAGAGGCAGAAAAGGATCTTGGAGTCGTTATTGATGCCACAATGAACATGGGCCGACAGTGTGGGGACGTGGTCAGGAAGGCCAACCGCACCTTGTCCTGCATCCACAGATGCATCTCGAGCAGGTCCAAGGAGGTGATCCTCCCCCTCTATGCGGCACTGGTCAGGCCGCAGTCGGAGTACTGCGTCCAGGTCTGGGCGCCGCACGTCAGGAGGGATGTGGACAGCATGGAGAGGGTCCAGAGGAGGCCACTCGCATGGTCGGGGCAGCAGGGCAGGCCCTACGAGGAGAGGCGACGGGACCTGAGCCTGTTCAGCCTTCACAAGAGAAGGCTGAGAGGGATCTAGTGGCCCTTTACAAACTAGTCGGGGGGACCAGCAGGCATTGGAGGAGTCCCTGTTCCCCCAAGCACTCCCAGGAGTGACAAGAAATAACAGTGACAAGCTGGCAGAGGGGAGATTTAGGCTAGACATCAGGAGGCGCTACTTCACTGTCAGGGCGGCTAGGACCTGGAACCAGCTTCCAAGAAAAGTGGTGCTGGCTCCTACCCTGGGGGGCTTTAAGAGGAGGCTGGATGAACACCTGGCCGGGGTCGTTTGACCCCAGTGCTGTTTCCTGCCATGGCAGGGGGTCGGACTTGATGATCTGCTCAGGTCCCTTCCCACCCGACCAACTATGAAACTCTGGGACACCAGCAGGGCATGGGCAGGGCAGGGCACGCAGAGTCCCCAAGGGGATGTAGATGTCTGTTGCCCCCTCCCCAAATTGTGCTGACTTACAAGTCACAGAGAGGGAGAACTCCTCCTGCAGTGGCTGTGCCAGTGCCTCGTGCTCCACGTGGCAGGAGAACTTGCTGCCCATGTTCCACCAGTTCGGGGCGAAGGCGTAGGTCACGGTGAGGCCGAAAGTCCCATCTCGGTAGCGCGCTGTGCCTGGAGACGGTCTGAGGCTCTCCGTCTCAGCCACGTGGCGGTGATGTCCTCTCGGTACAACCCCCACATGTGGCACGGAAAGGCCGTCTCTGTTTGTAGCTCGGCCGATCGGGTGTGGACAGAGACTCTCGAGGCAGCTGGAAGCAAAGGGAGAGCGGAGGGGCTGTGTCTTGCTGGAGCCTCCCCCGTCCCGTGTGGGGGCAGAGGGGTCACAGCCCTGCAGTTTGTGCCCCAGGGCCGAGTACACGGCAGTGGGGACTGGCACGTAGGAGCCGGGGTATCCTGCCCTGGGGCCCTCCTTGCCCTGGCAGCCCCAGCTCTAACACCTGCCCTCCCCGCACGCTGCTCTCCCTGCCGGCAGAGATGCCAGTGGCCGCAGGAGCTCTGGCCCCTGCCCTTGCCCTACGTGCTGGTCCTCCAGCTGTCCGTAGGCCCGGTGGGTGGGCAGGTGGCTGTGGGGAGCCCTGGGCCCTCCAGCAGGGATCAGAGGGGATGAACCCCAGCAAGATCTGGGGGAAGGGCTGGGAGAGAGAAGAGATCGTGGTGGTGCCGGTGGTGGCTGCGTGGTCTACGTGCGTGCTCCTGGGCGGGAGGTGGCTCTTGTCTGTACACTCCACACCTGTCTCTAGCACTAGCGCCATGGGTACCTGCCCGCTTAGTCCCTTGCCAGGGCGCGATGGGGCTGCTCGTGGTCCTCCCCAAGCACATGGAGAGTGGTCAGCTTCCCCAGCTGTTCCTCCGCCTCGTGCCCCACCTCGCACCGGTACAACCCCTCGTCCGCCACCTCACGCTGGAGAGTGAAAGGGAGCCATTCCCCTGGCAGAGCTGCTCATCCTTGGGCAGGCTGGCACGGGGCTGGGCCTCCCGTGTCCCCTGGTCGTACTGCACCACGCACTTCTCCTGGAAGTACCATGCCACCTGCAGGGAGCCCAGGGCCACGGGCCCCCTGACAGCAAAGTGGCACGGCAGCAGGGCCCGGGAGCCCAGCCGGGCGCGGGACAAGGGCTTCACGAACACCTGCAGCTGGGAGCCAGCATGGAGGTGGTTGGGGGCAGTCAGCTGAGCAGCAGGGAAAGACCCTGATCCTGGCCTGGCCTGGGCAGGGAGGGCCCTGGACTTACCCAGTGGGGCTTTCTGCTCCCAGGGCTGGGGATGGTGCTGACAGCTCCAGCAGCACCAGGCCATGGCAGAGGGTGGGGGGATGCAGTGGCCACGGCCCCATGGTGGGGCCACCCCCCAGGGGGTGGTCATGGGTGAGGATGACTGCCCGCTCCCGGCTCATACGCTGCCCAGCCCACCCCATCCAGCCGGGCTGGAGCCTGCGGGCTGGGAGCCCCCGGAGCCCTGGTGGTCCCCGCCTCTCGGGTCTCTGCCCAGCTCCCACCCCCTGGAGCAGGGCCGCAGACTGCACCTCGCCCAGGCCGGACAAGCCCTCACTGGCTGAGGTGCTTCCCCTCCATGGTCCCACCCGAAATGCCCCCTCGGGGCAAGGGGCACCCACCAGCGCGGCCCCCAGTAGCAGCAGCAGCATCTGGCTCCCTGGGGCAGTCAGTGCCTCTGCTGTACATGGCTTGTCTCTTCAAATGGCTTCTCTTGACCTCTGTTAATGAACTGAGAAGGGACCCCCCAAATTGGGGCCGGGACTGAGAGACTGTGTTTGGGTTAGGGAAGGGCAGAGGGCGCGTGCGCTAGGCAGCGCAGGGAGCGGGTGCGGTTATCGTAATGGGTGTGTGGGTTTATTAAGGTGGTTTGGAAAAGAAAAGGTGCAATGGAAGTCTATGCTAGCGGATGCATATACATACCTCCAGCAGCGTGGGAGGGTCCCTGGCTGCCAGGGAGGTCCCCACGCAGCCCAGGCCCCGGGGAGGGGTCTGTCTGGGCATCTACGTTGCCCCTGGCTGTGCCTGGTCCCTGGGATTGCCTCCCAGCTGCCCCACTGAGCCCAGTCGCTGCAGCACTGCCCACAGGGCAGAGGCCCTTGCGCCCTCCTGCCGGGGCCACAACGGGGAACGGAGCTGCTGGCCCCGCGGGGCAACCAGTGTCCTTGGGGGGCTCTGCCGCGGCAGGGGTGGCTCTGGCTTAGCTGCTGCCCCAGGAAGAGGAGAGCCCCTGGCCCCAAGGCCATGCCATACTCCCCCCACCTCAAGGGAGGCTGCCCTGTCACAGGTACCGGCTTGGGCATCCCGCTGCCAGCTCCGCGGGTCACCTCGCGCTCTCTGTGCGGGGAGGGTTCCTAGCACCGGTTTCAGGGGGCTCCTAGCAACTGTTGGGGGGCTGCCCCCACCCCTCCCGCCCCCCGATAGCAGAGCCCCAGGCCCTGGGGGCCCAGTCCCAGCTAGCCTGGCCCCTCCCCAGACTCAGTAGGGAGAGATGGGGCATCTCAGCCCCAACCTCCACCTCTGCTTCCGAGGGCGCGCAGGTAGATGGGCTCTGGGGACAGACCCTGGTATCTGGGCTCCCGGCTCCCCCCGTTCTAACTTGCCAGATTCCCACTCCCCTCCCAGACAACCCAGGCATCCGGGCTCTCAAATCCCCTCCCCGTTTCAGGTTCCCTGTCCCAATGACGCTGATACCTCTGACCCAAAACAAGACTTTACTTGGAGCAGGGGGAGGACACGGGGGTGGTGTCAGCGGGGCTGGGGAGGGATCCATGTTGCGGCCCCGGCCAGGGCAGTTGTGCGTGGGGACAGGGAAAAGGCAGTTGTGCGTGGGGGCAGTGGAGGGGGTGGGGGCTGGGGTGCAAGTGCTCTGATGGTAGGTCCTGGGCCCAGCTGGGGGGGCGGTGTTGGGGGCTGGACCACGGCGCCTGGGGCAGTTCCCTGGCTACAGAGTCCGGTCCGGGTCAGTGGGACTCGTCTGTCCTGCGCTGCCTGGGGGCTCTGGCCACAACCCAGGGGGAAAGGCCCTGGGGGTCCCTCGCAGCACTGGGCCCCTCTGCTGGCTCCGGCCCTAGGCTGGGGGGTGCCCAGCTGCGTTGTCCATGCGACGTGGCCCCCACGGCCTAGTCCCAGGCCAGGCCCTGGGGTCCCAGCCAGGGCGTGGGGTTGGCTCCGGCAGCTGCAACGAGGGGGGGGGGCATCCCCTGACCACTGACCCT